TTTTACTTTATTTTATAGATCTAAATAACTAGTGAAAAATAATTTAAAAACAATATAATTTGCCTTAAAAAAATTTAAACTTTAATTTATTTTCATTTTTTTATAGATTTTTATGCAATGACCAACCGGTTTGACCAGTAACCCGAGGACCCGGTACCTTGTTCGGGTCGAGTCTAAAAACTATGGTGCAGGATATCCAAATGTGCTAACTTTGAACGAAAGGAAGGGCACACAGTCAAATTAGGCCACGTACCCTACATTATCCTCAAAAATATCAACTCAGTGATAATATTAGTTCGTAACACCTTTATGTACATGTAGCATAGTCCAAGCAAGAATAGTTGTCTTAGTTCGTAACATGCATTGTTCAACATTGGCTTTTCATAAATATAAAACCCATCCACTAGATTATAGTGCAATGAATAATTGTTCACTCTGCCCCCATGGCACATCTCCAGCTTTATTTGAGGTTGTCGTGTCAAGGGTTCGAATCCTGAAATATGGATTTGGCTCTCAAATAAGTGCAAGTGTACAAGTAGCATTCTATCCTGTAGGGCCTGTACCCTTGGAAGCATAACTTGCAATTTACTTCCTCCACCAAAGCCCAGGGCAGGTGGGGGTCGCCAATGATGCAGTTGATCTTTTTTTTTTTTTAATAGTTGTCCACTCCAAACAAATTTGAGTACGAAAGGCACTCTCTCCTCATTCCTCCATTGGCCTACACAGATAGCAGGCTAGAATTCCGGCATACTCCATATTTAGGAAGTACAATGTACATCCTATCACTAATAGACATCCATCAATGTAGACAAAACAAAATTACTTGAAAGGTGTTGCAATTCTTGATGTATCACCTCATACTTGATATGGGGGTAAACAAGAAGTAGCATATTCAATTCAAATTTTCCACTTAAAAAGGGGATAAAATTACAAATAAATGCATGGTAACGAAGCATCAAATACATCAATCTGTTCAAGTCAATAATATTCATAGTTTATAGTACTACTAGATTATTGGTAGTCTATAAACAAGATATCATCTTTCTTCTATTTTTCTAGGAAATATGTTTTTCCTGGCATGCACATTGTGTGTGATAGACATTTAAACAATAATACATAAGATTTTTAACTTTTTTCTTTGAATATTGTCTAGAAGAATCCAATTGCATAAACAATGGATGGAAAGATAC